GTTAGCTCAGGGCTGATCTTCCTCACAAAAAAAAAAAAAAAAAAAAAAAAGAATTACAAAGCCCTTTCCATTTTATTTCCATTTCATTAGTGTCCATATACAACTTGAAATATTTTTAGTTCTACTCTCCTTCATAAAAATTTCTTAATTTACCTTCATAGCCATGTTACTAGAAGACAACAGAAAAATGGTTAAGTGATATGTTGAAGATCACAGAATTAAGATTAAAAAATCAACTGCTGACACTGAAGACCGTTAATGATTGGTCATATAATCCTCTAACCTTAGACTTACTGCTGCTATATATAATCATCTCGTTATTTTACTGCTGGTAGCGCAGGTAGTTATAGCGCTTCTGATACTTCCCCAGATTCATTACTCTTCTTCAGTTTAAGGATCTGGTAGTTAGAAATTCCTCAGAGATATTAACCTGCATAAGATGTTTGCATTTAGGTTGTCTTTAGGGAGTGGTTTATATTGTAGTTCTCTACTACAGTAGGAATCAGAATCATATGTACTGCTTTTATATAATATGCATGCTCAAGTCACGTCCCAGACCTAATGAACCAACCCACCGGGGGAGTGACAAATGTCGCTCACTATTAGGATACTGCTAATATGGAAAATCAGGCTCATCTTGTATCATTTTCTCTCAAAGCACAATTGTTAAGCAGCAAAAGATGATGGGCAAGAAAGAGGAGCAGGAAAAAGGACTAGAGAGACCCAAAATGTATATATAATGCACCAAATTCATATTTTAAAGTTCCATAAGTGACTCTGATTTCCATTCCCTGTTTAAGAATCATTTTTTAAGCTGCCAAATAAAGTTTGTCATCTTTCAGTGCCCATGAGGAGGACTTTTCTCATGAAATAAGGATACCAAAAGTCAGTCAGTCTCAGTGGGTACAAACAAATCCATACAGCAGCACCTGCACAGCAACATCATTCAGCACATGGATCACATATGCACCTTGTCAATGTATCCCTGAAATGAGCCTAGAGTCCAGGTATCAGCTTCACTTTGCGGATGAGGAAATCAAGGCTCAGAGGTTAACTTGCGGAAAATCAAGTGAGAAAGGCAAGATTCCTCAAAGGTGGCTAAGAACACGGCTGGAACTCTAGAAACACCTAGACTCAAGTCTGGACTCTATGTAGTAGTTGTATGACCAAATCTGCAAAATGGGGATACAAAGAGTACTTCTTTACCTGGTTAGTTAGTTAACCACCCTGTCATATGTAAAGTATTTTGCTCAGTGCCAACTTCAAGTAAGTGTTCCATGAAGGGCAGTTTCGTGCAGTGATCAAGAACACAAACTCTGGAGCCAGACTGCTTGGGTTTAAAAGCTGCTCTGCCATTTACTAGTAACCACAGGCAAGATCCTTAATCTTTCTGTACCTTAGTTTCCTCATCTGTAAAGTGGGAACAATAATAGTACCTATCAGGGGTGGCCCACTGGCACAAGCAGTTAAGCACACGTGCTCCGCTTCAGTGGCCCGGGGTTCGCAGGTTCGGATCCTGGGTGCGCGGTGACACACCGCTTGTCAAGCCATGCTGTGGTGACATCCCATATAAAGTAGAGGAAGACGGGCACAGACGTTAGCCCAGGGCCAATCTTCCTCGGCAAAAAAAGAGGAGGATTGGCATTGGATGTTAGCTCAGGGCTGATCTTCCTCACACACACAAAATAATAATAATAGTACCTATCTCATACAGTTGTGAAGATTAAATGATTAATATTAAAAGTGCTTTGAACCACATCTGATCCAGTTTAGGTGCATATTAGATGAGGGTCGTTATTATCACTAATTAATATGTATTAATGATAATCATTATTTTTCAGTCCTGTCTCCAAAGCACATGTTTTTCATTCCACCATGTCTCTCTCATGAAGAACAAAATTAGAAATCATACAACTTGCTTACTTTAAATCTTCACTTAGATATCTCGAACAGAATGTTAACTCCTGGATTATACTCCCACAGGCACCTCCTTCCAAAAGGGAAAAAAAAAATAATCCTGCTTCTTTACTAGTTTTCCTCATCTCAGTAAGTGTCCTAAAACCTAAGATTTATCCTTGATTCCTTCCTGTGCACAGTAAATCCAAAACATCACCAAGTCCCAAATCCATCCACTTTTCTCCAAATCTGAAACAAGCCATCATCATTTTCTTCTCAGGGACTATAGCAAAAGTTTATTTCTGTTGCCATTATTTGCTTTTTCGTATGTCCCTGTGTATGTACGTGTGTGTTGCCACTTCCATACGGCAGGAATAAGAAAATAAGATTGAGAATGTAAGACGAAACTACCCAAGTTGAAAATAAAGGAATGGACCTGGAATTTAACACTGAAATATCAGAGGCATTCCCATAACAACAGGAAAAAGACAGGAATATTTGACATCAACATTACTACTCCACCTTGTGCTGCAAGTACTAATTGATGAAATATGACCCAAAAATGAGGTAAAGAAAGTAGAAAAGAAACAAAAAAGGTTAACATGTGAAAACTAATGGCTTTCCTATACATCAGGAATAATCAATGAGAAAATGTGATGGAAAAAAGATCCTAATTGTAACAGCTTTATTCCAAGCTACTTTATATAAAGTTTTTGAGACTAACAAAAATACTTAATGTCATAAGACTAAATTTTATTGCAGGCCATAGAAGACAACTTGATTAAGTATAGAAGCTTGCTCCCAGATAGGAAGATGTAACAAAATGTTCTTCCTAAGTTTAATTCAATTATAAGAAATTGCTAACACGAGTCTATAACTTAATTAAAGTGATTTTTAAGTTCATGTAAACAAATGAGAGAAGAAAAATCTCAAAAAGAGTTATGGGGATGGGGAGAGAGGATCTGCATTATTATGAAACGATTCAACAGCACTGCACTGCCAGAGTATATAAGCACTTCAACTGAACAGAAAAAGTAACCCAGAAACAGAACCAAGTATATGTCAAAGGTTAGCATTTTAAATCAGTAGGAAAAAAAGGGAATGTTCAATACTTTAAGAAGATTTTAAAAATGAGACAATATATCAAAAGTAATTCTAAACAATTAAAGTGCTAAAAGTAAAATATGAAACCACGAAGTTATCTGTGAACGAGAATTTTTTATACAGACGTCCCTCGGTATCCCCCCCAGATACCAAAATCCAAGGATGCTCAAGTCCCTTACATAAAATGGCGTAGTTTTTGCATACAACCTATGCACATTCTACCATATACTTTAAATCATCTCTAGATTACTTATAATACCTAATACAATGTAAGTGCTCTGTAAAAAGTTGTTTTATTGTATTGTTTACGGAATAAGGACAAGAAGAAAAGTCTGTACATGTTCAGTACAGCTGCAACCATCGTAGGCCATTCGATCCGTGGTTGGTTGAATCTGCAGATGTGAAACCAGCGGATGCGGAGGGCCAAGTGCATAAAAGCAAAGAAAGAAACTATGAAAGAAATGACGTAGATTTGACTACTACAAAAAAAGTGAAGCTTTTTTTATGTCAGGATACATTAAAAGCAAAACAAAACAGCAAACAACAGAAAACATTTTGCAAATCAATTCTATCACCTTTAATGTTAGCAAAACTTTCCCTCAGAATCTGGTCATGACCTGGTTTAAAGGTGGTCTGAATTTGTCTTTTGCTATACCTTTCTATGTATTTTAGGAAAATAAGGAGAGATACCATCAATAATTACTGGTTAAAATTCCATTTTTAATCTAGAACCTACTTGATACTTTAAAAAAAAAACTAAATTAAAAGTCTATTTTGAAAATTATGTTTACCAAGGGTGGATCACAAGGATCTTTTTGGTTATGAAAATCGTTATAGCTTAGACAGAAAAAATCTAAGACAGTGTGTGTGGGACATACTAGTCTAATTAAGGGTGTAAAAACAATAGGACTTCTCAGCAATCCCAACTAAAATCTTTCACAAATTCAGAGACTAATTCAGAATTGCAAGAAGTCAAATAACGTATTTTCCTTACAGAAAAGGAAGTCAAAGCTCATCGTTACAAATGATCTGGAGGATAAAAATATA